GTAGAACAGTCGAGTGTAAATGGGTCTTTAAGACCAAACGCGACTCTAATGGCAATATTGAATGGTACAAGGCTAGACTTGTTGTTAAAGGTTTTACTCAGAAAGATGGTGTTGATTACAACGAGACCTTTTCACTGGTTTCCTCCAAGGACTCTTTTAGAATTATTATGACAATGGTAGCCCATTATGATATGGAGCTTCATCAAATGGATGTGAAAACTGCCTTTCTGAATGGGAATTTAGAAGAAGAAATGTACATGGAACAACCTGATGGTCTTCCAATTAAAGGGAAGGAAGACATGGTGTGTAAATTAAAGAGATCAATATATGGACCGAAACAAGCTTCTAAGTAGTGGTACCTCAAGTTTCATAATACCATTACCACTTTCAGATTTAAGGAAAACACTGTTGATTGGTGTATATATCTGAAGGTCAATGGAAGCGCATTTGTAATTCTAATTCTATATGTTGATGAAATCTTGCTTGTTACTAATGATCTTGGTATGATGTATGAAACCAAGAAGTTTCTCTCTAAGAACTTTGAGATGAAGGATATGGGTGAGGCATCCCATGTGATTGAAATTGAAATTATTCATGATAGATCACAAGGATTGATGGGATTGTCTCAAAAAGCTTATATCCATAAAGTACTAGAGAGATACAATATGGATAAATGCTCTGCGAGTCTAGTTCCAATTCAGAAAGGTGATAAGTTGAGCCTTAAGCAATGCCCACAGATTGAATTGGAACGTAAGCAAATGGACCATATTCCTTATGCATCTGTTGTCAAAAATTTAATGTATGCTCAGACATGTACCAGACCAAACATTAGTTTTGTGGTCGGCTTACTGGGCAGATATCAGAGTAATCCTGAAATGGATCATTGGTGAGCTGCAAAGAAAGTGTTGAGATATTTACAAGGGACAAAGGATCATATGCTTACTTACAGGAGATCTGATTATCTCGAGGTAATTGGATATTCAGATTCAGATTTCGCTGGTTGTGTAGACACCAGAAAATCCACATTTGGGTACGTATTTATGTTAGCTGGAAGAGCAGTTTCATGGAAAAGTGTGAAGCAATCTGTCATTGTTGCTTCCACTATGGAGGTTGAATTTGTGGCATGCTTTAAGGTCAAAATTCAGGGATTATGGCTGCGGAATTTTATTTCAGGGCTTGGGATTGTCGAAAGTATTGCCAGGCCACTGAAAGTTTATTGTGATAATGGTGCAGTAGTTTTCTTCTCTAAAAAACGACAAATATTCAAAAGGTGTTAAACATATGGAATTGAAATATTTTGCCGTTAAAGAAGAAGTTCAGAAACAGAGAGTGACTATTGAGCATATCAGCACAAATTTTATGATAGCGGATCCGTTGACTAAAGGGTTGTCACCTAAGACCTATAGTGAGCATGTTGAAAGGATGAGTATTATTGCCCGTCATGACTGATTTATGATGTGTTGTATATGTTTCTTGATTTACATTATGCTACTCGTGTTTTGGACACTCTGAGCTCTTGATGTGTTGTTTCTGATTCATATAAATTATTTTGTTGTGTGTTTCTTTATATTATGTTGTTTGGTATACATAAATGATAAAGATGACATAATTTGTCCTTGATAAGGACATTATTGTTGGACCATTAAGAATCATTATAGATTATTCTGGGTATAGAATTTATAATGTGATACATGGAAGGGATTGTGTTAATTCAATGACATACAACCGTCATGATCCTTATGAGTTCTTGCTCAATAATGTTTATATGCTTGACCATTTTAAGAAATGGCCTTTTTGGTTAATTATTAGTGTGTACACATTATGTATTATTTCTAAACTATAAAGTTATTTATTTTTTCATGGACCAAGTGGGAGAATGTTAGAAATATTTTTCATTTCTCATAAGGTGGTCCATGTATTAATTTTATGATATAGTTGTTTTGAAATAATTAAATTAACTGAAGGGCATGATGGTCATTTACCTTTGATGGAGAGGTTACTGTAGTTAATTAAATAATTGCAGTTTGGGAGTTTTTGAACTGCCATATAAAAGAGGTCTTCTCTCTCTATTCCCAAATTAATTCATTACATATATTTTTCTTTATCCATCAAAAGAAGAGATTGATAATAAGGGAACAAAGGGAGAGATATACATGTCTTCTTTCACAATCTCATTTAAAGATTACACATGGATTCAGGTATGTTTTATTGGTTTTATAAATAGTGAAAATGCATCAAAGTTTCTGATTTTTGGGATTTAAGATTATGCAATTTTAGGGCATAGAAATATGATTATATTGTTGATTCTTTGCCATTTATGGAATTGATAAAATTGCTATTAAGATAGTTGTTTTACATGCAATCCTTGTATAACCTTGAGGAAGGCTTAAATTGTGGTAAACCATTCACCATCTTCCTCTGCTTAAGAGTCTTTAAGCCCTTAAAGCTCAAATGTCCAAATCTATAGTGCCAAAGTTGCACCATGTCTTCTGCAATTGTATTAAAACAAGCAGATGCTTTAGGCTAAGATATAACATGCAGTATGAACATTCGATTCGAAGACATCTTTGGCTCCATGATTAAGCCTCTCTCGGGATGAAACACCTTACACTTTCCATGTTGAAACAGAATGGCAAGCCCTTTTCTTGCAATTGCCCAATATTAAGCAAATTGTTCTTTAGCTCTGGCACATAAAATACTTTTGTGATGATCTATGCTATTCCATTCACCTGCAGTAGTACATTACCCTTTCCTAGTATGGCCATGTTTGAGTTATTCCCTAGCCTCACATAATCTTTGAAGCTTTCATCAAAATCCGAGAAGTATTCCTTCTTCCCACACATATGATTGTTACATCCCGAGTCAAGGAACCACATATCTTCTCTATTGGCCTTATCCATATCCATGTACGCCATTAACAACATTTCTTCTTCAGTCTCTTCATAGTGGACCTCTTTCTCCTTGCTTGGACATTCCCATTGAAAATGTCCTAGCTTGTGACAATTATAGCACTCCACTTCGGCCTTGTCGAAGGTTTGTCTACCTTTTCCCCTTCCCCTTCCTCTAAAACTACCATGGTTGCGACCTCTTCCTGCAAATTGATTATCATGAGTAATCTACAAGGCGTGTACTTCTTCAACATGAGAATTCATGTGTTGTTCATGCACAAGCAGGCTGTTTTGCAACTCATCAATGGTTAAGGTGTTTGTATCTATAGACTCCTCAATGGAACACATAACATAGGCAAACTTAGGAGTCATGGATCTCAAATTTTTTTCAATGATAGTAGCATCTCCCTTAGTCTCACCATTTGCTTTCATCTTGTTAGCTATGGTAAGAGTCTGAGCAAAATACTCATTCACAGACTCTCCTACCTGCTTGTGGAGAGTTTCAAACTCCTTCTAGAGAGCTTGCAAGTGTACAAGCTTAACTCAAGTTGTACCTTGATATTTTTGCTTCAAAGAGTCCCATATGTTCTTCGTTGTATCTTTGTTGAGAATTGTCTCTAGGATCGAATGATCTAGTGCTTGAAAGAGATAGTTCTTTGCTTTCAGATTTTTCAACTTCTGATCTTCAATGTTGTTTTTTTGGGCATCCGTGAGAACAACACCTTCTGCTGCTATAGGAATCCCATTCTCCACCAAGCCCCAGTACTCCTTTGATGGCAAGAAATTTTCCATGATCATAGTGCCCATCAAATTTTGGAACTATTGGCTGAACAAATGAACTCTTTGTCATCATACTGCGATTACTACACATGTAGAAGACTGCAGCTTCTAATTTAACTAGGCCCTGCGATGTGGCCTCGAAACCAGACGTTAGGAACCAAAAAAAAGACTTACAAAAGGATATAGAACTTAAGAGAAAATTCATGTTTATGAAGAACAAACTTGGCTATTGTATAGCCTAACAGAACAAACAAATGAGAAATAATAGCCCATGTCTAACAACTCCTAATAATGTGGTAAGATTAATCCAAATATATCTCAGCCCTTGACAATAAGTACTTATTGTCTCATTATATATGCAATCGTCTTTCCATCAAAGACAACTATCATAGTTATCTATTTATTAAAACAACATTTTAATAAGAACTGCAGGACCAAATATATAATTTTAATTAAATTAAAATTCTAACATATGTCCTTCCATTCATTCCAGGCCAAGCGGAGTGAGTGAACTATCCTCGGATCAATTCAACTCGTATTTTTACACAACTTAAGAATGCAAAAATATGAGGACACTTTATTCTTTTGCAGGAGCTGAAACAAGTAGGTGTCTCCAAATATCGCAATTTTTTTGGTTGAATACACTTTGATTCTCCTTCTTTTATATTCTCAATCAAAATATTGTTTTTTTTTTTTTTTTTTTTTATCATGAATTGCAGACGGCATAAAGTTATAGTAGATGAAGATGTTCCGCAACAACTGCATTGGGAGGTTTTTGATTACATAATAGTGTCAGTATCAAGGTTAAGCAATATCTTGGCCACACACAAGTAAGGGAGAAAGATCCCTTTTTTTTTTTTAATCGAGGTATTTGAATTTGTTTGTGCATACTTCAATTAATCTTCGAAATCAATTAAACACCTTATAAACCCAAAAAATCAGGTAAACCATAATGTTATTGTGATAAATATTCCTAAAGTTTAAACTTAAGAATTCAAAGAAGGGAAGATGTTAACTGTCAAACCAACCCTTTAAGGTTAAGATTCGTAACATCACCATACATTCCTTCGTTATAGATTTAGTATCGAGTTCCCTACAACATCAATTAAATAGATATTTAACTCTAATCTCTAAACTTATTGGATCCAATCAAAATTTAATTGCTCTTAATGAACGTGATGATATTACTATTTAATTTGGCTCGTTATCTATATAGGCAGGTGAATATAAACATTACACGTGTAATTATTGAAGTGGACACTGTAACAAAGTCACTGTGGAAGCGAACCTATATCAAAGTGAAACAAGATAATTTGTATTGATTAATGATTATCATCACTATGGCTATGGCGCTTCAAGCCAAATATTATTCTCTGCATCCTCTTCTTCCTCAACCCCAAACCCATTCCTCAAACTGTTCAAAAACCTTTAGAATTGCAACTTGTTGTGCTCATCATGTAATTCAAGCTCAAGCCGAGACAATGAGGACCAAGAAGAAGCTCAAACCAAGCTTCTTCCAGCAAATTCGCCATAAATGGTCTTCGAAAATAAGTTCACCAAGAGAGAAGTTTCCATGGCAAGAACAAGAAAAAGAACAAGACCAAGAACTAGAGATAGAGGAAGAGGAAGAGGAAGTAGAAGAATTGAAAACCCCGCAGTCTTTTGGTGTTGCAGAAACTGATGTGGCGTCATCAGTGAGTGTCCTGGTGAGTTCTGCTTTGCCCAGAAGTTTTGTTTCAGCTCCTTGGGATCATGGAAATTATTCTCAACCTAAAATCTCACGAATTGGTACTAAAAAGGAAGAAAATGTTGATGGGTCTCTTGTAAGTAATGCTGTTAAAGAAGTCAATAAATTGGATAATGAAGTTAAATGGGTTGAAGAAATTAAAATTGATGATAGAATTGAGGAAAAACGTATTGAGTTTCCAAGTAGCAAGCCAAAAACAGTTGTCGGGGGTTTAAACGGCGTCTCTTCTGTGAACGAAGGGCTAAAGGAGAGTGGAGAGAATTGTAGTTCAAATAGGGCACCATGGAGGAGAGATACGGATAACGAGGGAGATAAGAGGAGGAGAAACAACACGGAGTTGGCGGAGAGAATGATCCCTGAGCACGAATTGCGGAGACTTAGAAATGTTTCTTTGAGAATGCTGGAGAGGATCAAAGTCAAGAGCGCTGGGATTACGCAGGCATTGGTGGATAGTATTCATGAGAAGTGGAAGGTCGATGAGGTTGTGAAACTAAAGTTCGAAGAGCCTCATTCGCTTAACATGAAGAGGACTCATGAGATTTTGGAGGTCAGCGTTGGTAATTGACATTTTAATGTTTTCGTTTTGTTTGTTAGGTGTTTGTCAAATTGATTGAACTTGATGTTTACTTGAAATGTGTTTCATGCTTGATCAGAGGAGAACTGGGGGTTTGGTTATATGGAGATCAGGCAGCTCAGTAGTTTTGTTCAGGGGAATGGCCTACAAACTTCCTTGTGTACAATCATTTACAAAACAAAATCAGATGCTTCGCTCAGATAATGTTATGAGTAATTTCATGCATAATGCAGGAGAGAACAATTCGGTTGGGTCTACGGAATCATTTATACCTTCTGCAAAGTATTTGCAGAATCTTTCTGAGGAAGAACTTATGGACTTAACCGAATTCAACTATTTGTTAGATGAGCTGGGTCCGCGGTTTACAGATTGGCCTGGCAGTGGGCCGTTGCCTGTAGATGCAGACTTGCTTCCTCCTGTGGTTCCTGGATAGATACCACCATTCAGACTTCTCCCTTATGGCATAAGGCAGTCTTTAAGAGATAATGAGGTGACGACGTTTCGTAGGCTTGCAAGAAAAATGCCTCCACATTTTGCCCTTGGTATGTCAAATCTATTGTATATGATTGTAATGTTCAGCAAATTGTGCATTCTTAAGGGCTTTGTTTTTATTTAATTTTCCTAGGAAGGAACAGACAACTACAAGGCCTAGCTCAGGCAATGGTAAAGCTATGGGAAAAGAATGCTATTGCAAAGATAGCAATAAAACGTGGTGTACTGAATACAAGTAATGAGAGGATGGCAGAGGAACTCAAGGTGAGATATGACAACAGTATTGCCTTTTGAATGTAGAGCATTTAAAATAAATTTCTTAATTTTTGCTATGCTCAATGAGAAAAATGTTGAAGTGTCAAGTGTTATAGAGCAGAGTTGCTTTAATTAAATTCATTGTCTACTTCATCCCAGTGACTATATTTTAAGAGGCTTGGATTGAATTTTCTTCTTTAGCAGCTTTCCTGGTCCAACTGTCTATAATTCTTAGTGCTATGTTTTTGGCTCGTGCACGCAGAAATTGACTGGGGGAACACTACTTTCCAGAAACAAGGATTACATTGTCTTTTATAGGGGTAATGATTTCCTGCCACCTGTTGTTACGGAGGCATTCAAAGAGAGGTTGAAACTAACAAATATTTGACAAGATGAGGAAGAACAAGCACGACAGAATGCCTTGGCCTTGATTGAGTCAAAGGTCAAAGCTCCTAATGTCCCATTGGTTGCTGGCACCCTTGCTGAAACCTTGGCGGCGACCTCTCGATGGGGAGACCAACCTAGTAGTAAAGATGTGGAGCAAATGCTGAGAGATTCAGCTTTGACTAGACATTCTGTATTATTCAAATATCTTAAGAAGAAACTAGTGCTTGTAAGTTGCAAATGGACTTGGTTATTTTCTACTAGAACTATTCTGATGCTCAGAATCTTACTTTAGCACTTTTGAATCATGATGTATTTGTAACTCTTGATGGTCATAGGCAAAAAGGAAATTGAGAAGGGCTGAGATGGCTCTAGCAAAAGTACAGGAGAATCTTGACCCAGCAGAGCTTCCCTCTGACTTGGAAACCATAAGCAATGAGGAGAGATTTTTATTCCGTAAAATGGGTCTGAGTATGAAACCCTACTTACTTCTAGGTAAGAATTGCCACCTTGATTTTACTTAATGTTGCAAAGGAGAACTGTAAAAGATATGCATGTCTTTTCTGTTCCAGGGAGGCGAGGTGTTTATGATGGTACTATAGAGAACATGCACTTGCACTGGAAGTTCCGGGAATTGGTGAAAATAATTGTCAAAGGAAAAAGTTTTGCACAAGTCAAGCAGATTGCAATTTCTTTAGAGGCTGAGAGTGGTGGAGTGCTGGTATCTTTGGATAAAACCACCAAAGGATATGCAATTATTGTCTATCGTGGGAAGAACTATATAAGCCCTATTAAACTGAGACCCCAGAACTTGTTGACAAAAAGGCAGGCATTAGCTCGGTCAGTTGAACTTCAGAGACGTGAGGTAATATTAAAAATTGTTCTCAGTGTATTGATTTTTCTTCTCAAATTGAAAAGCATTTTTCATTTTATCATCTGATCTGTTTCCTCTTATTTCCACAGGCATTAAAACACCATGTCTTGGACTTAGAAGAGAGAATTGAGTTGGTGAAGTCTGAACTAGTATGATATCTTTCCTTTTGCTTTTCATATGTATTTATGTGGCGGTATTCTAAAGGGGTAATTTTGGACAACCAGCTTGCTTAAATTTTTATTTGTTTATTCTTGTTGCTTCAGGAAGACATGAAATCTGGCAAGACAATTGATGTCTGGAAAAGCTTCTACTCAAGATTAGATGATGCTTGCTTTTCAGATGATGACACTGAAGAGGTAAATCATTTAAGATTCCTATGTGGAGTAAGACCACTACTGTGTTGGTTAGAATTTATAGAAAACACCTCACACCTTATTTTTACTTCAGTATGGACTCTTCTCACCTCTGAATGACACTAAGCTAATAATTGCCATTATAACTTGCAATTCTCTCTTTCATTATTAGCTATTTCTTATTAATTCGGAGTCTAGTACTGTTTGAAGCTTTGTTTGTGTTATGAAAACTGCTGTCTCCTATAATTTCTGATTCTCTAAGTACTTATTTATACTGGGATGTCTTCCTGTCAAGCCTTAGATATTAAGAGTGAATCCTCTGAGCTAAGTGAGGCTGCAACTAATAGTCTTTTGAAAATCAGGACGAAGGCGAAGAGACATCTTCAGACATATGACAGCGCAAGGCAGTGAGATTAGCAATAAACCAAAATGAGTTCTTGTAGCAAAGATCAATTCTTGCACCTGCTTGAAGCTTAGGGATCAAGCATTGAAGATACTTAGAGAAAGGTTCAAGCAACCCAGAAATGGATGAGATGAGAGCAAAGAATAGGTTCTTCCTTAACATAATTGATTATCCTGGGTCATTGATGTAGATAGTTAGGGACAGTTTTCTCGTTTATATGTGGCATACTTATACCCATGACCCATGTTGTAATATCCTTAACTAGGCATATACCAACTTTTGTTTTTTCAAATCAGTGTTGTATTTTTTATGACAATGCAGATGGCTATAATGTTAATCCTTCGCTGAAATGTTCTCATGAGAAATTGAGTCCGGAATTTGTAATCTTACATCATTGAGTATTGGAAGTTTCTCCATTTTTAAACAATATATAATAAAATTATAAAATATTTCAATTTACAAGGTAATACGAAGGAAAAATCACATGAACATACCATTTTTACTTAACTGAATCACATGAACATGCAGGTTTTAGTTAGGTGAATCAGCATTATGCACTTATTTAGTCATAAGAGTAGATTATGATGAAAATTGAAAAATGCAAATGAGTAATGTTAGCCTTCTTAAATTTTTTAATTTCAAATAATGTGAAATCATTGGACATTTAACTTACCGCATTAAATTCTTGGTAAGGTAATGTAACCTTAACTTTCTGCCCTTAAATTCTTAGATGAAGGTAACCTTAACTTTCTGCCCTTAAATTCTGAGATGAAGTTGATATTTTTTTTTTAAGTTACAAGTTTAAATGATTTGATCGAAACATTGGGGTTGTCCATAATTTTTTCCATCTAACTCTCACAGGTGAGTGGTGAGATACTTGAACCCTCTGTATAGCGAGGGCCAGAGAGTTTTTTTTTATGGGTAAGCATGGGTAACGGGTAGAACCGAAACCGAAACCTACCCAGAACTGACACTATACGGGTAGGTTTCGATTCTAACTTTTTGGAATCGTTACTATACGGTTTCGGTTCCGGTTCCTATTTGTGCAGGAACCAAAACCAAAATTGGAACTTGTGATGGGAACCTAAAATGAGTACCTTGGTGGGTACTTGCCCGAGTACCTTGAATGGAACCTGTCTTGGAATCGAGTTCGGATATCCGAGTAGGAACCTGTATTGGAACTTAGATTTAAATAAAGTATTAGCAAAGAATTGGGGGTCTGTAATTTTACATATAAAAAATTTTAAATGACCAAATGAGATGAAATGTTATATAAAAAATTGAGTAATGCTATGTGCACTAACCAATGTGTACTAATTCAAGTACTAATATTGGAAATTTGAAATTTTTTTTGGAGGGAATTTCAAATTTCCAATGTTAGTACTTGAATTAGTACCCATTGGTTAGTGCACATAGTTTTATTCTAAAAAATTATAGTGTAACAATAACAATAACCTAATCAAATATATATACAATTAATTATACATATATACTTCACCTTATAAAAAACTTTAATATATTATAAGATTAAAGTTTTGATTAATTAAGTGTATAAATTATAACAATAATACTATATTTACAAAGATTTCCATACAAAGTGAGATGGCAAAAAATGAATGGAAGAGTGAAACAAAAAGTCAAACTCATTAAATTTACTATTCCATTCATTTTTATCACATCACTTTGTATGAAGATTTTTGTAAAATTTCTTTGTAAGTATAATATTACTCAAATTATAATTGAAATTAGGATCCAATTAAAAGTGTTTTAATGTTATTAAAAAAAATTATTTTTTAATAAAATAATATATTTCATTGAATAATATTTAGTTATTTACTTCAATTATCAAGTTTTAAGTATATCTATAATAGATTAGTAATTAATTAATTATACATGATAAATTGATAAACATTAGTACATTATTAGTTAAATGATTACCTAATTATTAATTAATTATAACATTACATTATAAACATAATATTTTACTACATTAGTATATTATTTAATTAAATGATTAGAAGTTTAATTGATTATAACATTACATTATAGTACTTAATTAATTATAGCATTATATTGTAAATATTAGTAATTTATCACATTAATACATTACCTAATTAAATGATTAAAAAATTAATTAATTATAACATTACATTATAAGATGATTACTTAATTAATTATAACATTACATTATAGATTTATAATATGATTATTTAATTAATTATAACATTAAACATTAATAATTTACTAAATTATTACATTACTTAATTAAATAATTAGTACATTATAGTATGACAACACATGTCTCCTAAGTCACGATATATTAAGAAATCATTAAACAAACTTAAAGTTAGAGTTATACTAATTATTTAATTAAGAATTCAATATTAATATTTTATTTTATTCTTTTGCCATAAATTTAAAATTAATATTAATTTAACTTTATTTTCACTCTAGTAATTATAATATTTGTATTTTTGGATAATAAAGTTTACTAAAATTTAATTCCCAAAATTAATTCCATAACTATACTTTGTAAAATATATATATTTATAATTTTAAGGTTTGCTTAATTTGTCAGGGGTCTATTTGTAAAATTTTAAGATGTGTTTGTCATTTTTTAAACTAATACGGGGTAATTGATTTTGTATAGGGTACCCGAGTAAGTAACCAGAACCTGCATAGTAGGCTCCAGTTCCAAGAATTAAAGAACCGGAACTTGTCAATTCCGGTTCTGGTTTCTTTTCCTAGGAACCTGTAGGTTCCAGTTCCGATTCCCCCAAAATGCGTAGGATACCCAAAACTGTTCACCCTAGTTTATTTGGGTAATTAAGAGGGCCAGAGAGTTTTGTTTTTCTCTGGTGGAACTTTATACTCGATCCATATTTTAAAACTTCTCAAAAAAAAAAGAAAAAAAAAGGGTGATAAATGATAAATTCTTTTCTCTAACTTTCTTTTTTTGGGGCAAAGTCATGTCATTCTCCAAGATAGTCACTAGGGGTGTTCAAAAGAACCGATTGGAACCAGAACCGGTGGGTACCCAGGGTTTGGTTTCGGTTCCTACCAGGAACCGGCCGTCAACGGGTAGGTTCCCGTTCTAAATTTTTGGTACTGTTACTGTGCAGTTATGGTTCTGGTTCCTATAGTTAGGAACCGAAACCGAGACTAATATAAAATAAAATTAAAAAGTTGAGGGGTTAATAAAAACTTTTGTAGAAAAAGTAACGTGAATACATTTATATTTATATTTCATAATATTTAAAGTAAATTGGTTTGACTTTTAAGAATCTACCTTTACAAAGTAATGGAGTTTGTAATTTTGAATTTATAATTTGTAATTTTATTTTTGTTAACAAGTTCCAGGTGGTAGGGGTGTTCGGTTCCGGGTATCCTGCACTTTTTGAAGGAATCGAAACCGACGGTTCCTTGAAATTTGGAATCAGAACCGGAACCGAGGGTTTCGGTTCCTAGGTACCCAGAACCAGAACCTGTAACAACGGTTCCGGTTTCGGTTCTGGATACCCTGTAAAATTACATGACCTCCCAAAAGTTTTTAAAATTGCAAAAAAAACCCTTAAAAACTTACAAATACCCCCCCACCTGGCACTTGTTAACAAAAATAAAATTACGAACTACAAATTCAAAATTACAAACTCCATTACTTTGTAAAGGTAGATTCTCAAAAGTCAAACCAATTTACTTTAAATGTTATGAAATATAAATATAAATGTATTCACATTACTTTTTCTACAAAAGTTTTTATTAACCCCCCTAATCTTTAATTTTATTTTATATTAGTCTCGGTTCCTGGTTCCTGGTTCCGGTTCCAGTTCCTAACTATAAGAATCAGAACCGGAACCGCACAGTAACGGTTCCAAAAATTTGGAACCAGAACCTACCCATTGACGATTGGTTCTGGGTAGGAACCGGAACCAAACTCAGGGTACCCGTTGGTTTCGGTTTCAACCGGTTCTTTTGAACACCCCTACCAGGGGGTATTTGTAAGTTTTTAAGGGTTTTTTTATTATTTTAAAAACTTTTGAGGGGTAACAAATTTTATAGGATATCCACAGCCAAAACCGAAACCATTGTTACAAGTTCCGGCTCTGGTTCCTTAAAAAAATGCAGGGTGTCCGGAACCAAACACCTGTATACTAGTCGCAGCATCTCAATCAGGTCAATTCTTAAACTTCATTGTCTTCCGAAGATCCCTTCTAAACATTTATCTGTAGAAAGCATCTCAACCAATCCAAACCAACACTCATATGCAATTTCATATCTTGTAAATTCGTGTGGGTTGTCTTTAGAATCTGGTTTATGGGTTTCTAAATATGTTCATTCTAAAACCCCACAAGAACCTGATTCAGTCCTCAGTTTTTTCCAGGACTATGGCTTCTCGAAACCCCAAGTTTCAGCCTTAGTTAAGAGATCCCCAGGATTGCTTTATTCCAATCCTGAGAAATCCCTTTTGCCCAAACTCGAGTTCTTTTACTCCAAAGGCTTTTCAGTCCCTGATCCTGCCTAAACCTTTCGTGATCAGCCATCTATTTTATTGAGAAGCTTAGAGGAACATATAATCCCTCATTTCAATTTCTTGAAAGACTTGCTCAAGTCAGATGAGAGTGCCATTGAAGTGGTTAAACGCTACCCGCGTATGCTCTTAAATAATCTTGAAACTTATGTGGTACATAATGTTAACGTTTAGCGAAAAATGCAGTGCCGGAATCCAGTATAATTCTGTTGCTTCGTAGCCAGCCCAGAGCGAGCATTTATGACAAATTCAGATATGTTTAAGGTGACTGTGGAGAAGGTGAAAGGAACGGGGTTTAATCCTTCAAAGACGAGTTTTTGTTTTGCATTTTATATATTAGGGTCAATGAACAAATCGACATGGGATAGAAAGGTTGATGTTTATAAGAAACGGGGTCGGTCTGAGAAAGTGATTTTTGAAGTATTTAGGAAGCATCCATGGTATACGGTGGCATCTGAGTAAGAGATTACAGCGATCATGGATTACTTTGTCTGTAGATTGGGCTGTGAATCTTCTTTTATTGCCAGAAGCCCTGGAAATATACTCTTGAACTTTTGAGAAAAGAATTGTTCCCAGGGGTAGAGTTGCTCAAGTTCTGTTGTCGAAAGATTTGATTAAAAATCTTTTGTCTGCATTATTTAAGACTTCAGAAAAGTTATTCCTGAAGAAGTCTGCGGACTTGCTATACAAAGGAAGCTCCTCAGCTGTTGAAGTGGTATCGAGAGAAATTGAACCTTCCAAGATAATAAAATTGGTTCTATGTCTCGTGAAGGACATTATGATTTTTTGGTATCTTTTTGGTTTAGATGTACTAATTTTAATTAGATGGCTTTTACTTGGCTGTTTGTTTTGATATCATTGAGGCTGGAACAAGGAGTGTTGGCAAGGGATTGTTTGATTTTAATACCGTTTGGTTAGGAATTTAGGCCAAGATCTGTCATAATTCTCTCCAGCCTATATGCTCCAAAAGATACCATATATGTATTGGTATGATGAGGATCTTGATGTTGTTCATTATATAATATATCGTCAAGGAATTTGGTGTTTTGTTTCACCAGGACTCTCTTCCGGTGAAGATATCCACCATGAGTCTTCACTGATGTTTACCGATTTTCAAGTAAGGGAGCAATTCAAGGCAAAAATATGTATCGTCTGAATAGCCTGCAATACAGCGTTATGGGAATCAAATTATGTTTCTGACTTTAACCTTCAGATACAAGTTTCTGCAATGACCAAAACAACAATTTTGTAGGCGATAAGGAACCTCCGGTGTGCCAGTAAATAATGGAAATTTAACAATGCCACAGGATTTAGTAATGCAGAATGATAACTTAGCTGAAAACTAGAGTTGGCAAAAAGAATCTTTACCACAATCATGTGAATATAGAAACCCAAGTTTGATGTTGCTTCCTTATTGGTTACATTTTAAATATACTTTTTAATAATTCTCCCATCATATATTCATGAATTATTAAAATTCAACAATTTTAATCCACAAGTCCAAAATATAGAACATGTCACTAAATGAAACGAAACAGTCTTGCAGGGAGTGCTTCAGATCACATGTTCAATTTATGATACTTCCCTGCTCGCTTTAACTTGAGCACTAAAACCGGGTTTCATCAGGCATCTGCATCATATAATTGTGTCAGAAGGTTCAAGTTTAATAAACTCAATATCTGAAACAATCAACTTTTTGTAAGCATATGGGTACATAATGCACCTGGATGGATAGGTTTATGCTAATTCTGCTTCAGACCTTCTTTTATGAAATTCAGAACAACTGATGCTAGTTCAGCTTGATGTTTAGTGTATCCATGATTGGCTCCTTCTACAATATGCAATTTGTGGTTTGGTATAATCTTGGCAAACTCGTGCGCATCTTGAACAGGGATAATTGTGTCAGCTGATCCATGGACTGTCAAGACCCTGTATGTACATATATAGGTAGATCAACAGTTAGTATATACACCATGCACATTAATACATGTGAAAATAAAGCATTACTCTTAAATTGCAAAAGTTGCATCGATATAATTGGCAAACAATTAGCTGTAGAAGGAAATTAACACAGTAATAACTTTACACCCATAGGCGCATTCAAGGGCAGTTTCCAAATTGCAAAGCAAAATATGCAGATGAAAAAAGGGAAACAGCCAAATCTTAGGTTGCTTTTAATCATTATTATTATTTGATAATAATTCAATGGCATTCTTCATAGCATAATCTAAATGAGTCTGTAACTTCTGATGCACGGGCTTATTTTGCAGATTCCAGAGATGGCAATGTTAAACAATGACAATCAATAAGTGGATGTCTACAATTGAACAGTACTTATTTGACCAAGCAAAAGATCTTTTCTTCTGATCAGGAAAAGGAAATTCGAACTCCAAGTAAATAGACAGTAAAAAAATAATGTTTCTCCACTAGAAAGTAAAATATGATGGCTTCATCTTCCTGGAGCTGTAATCTATCCGTATTAACACAAGATATATTTTCAGAAATTGCTTACCGTATCAATATTTGAAGAACATTATACGGTCTTCTAACACATTTTAAGCTTAGTCAAGCAAAAATGCATGAACAGCGAAACATTCAGATGATTGAATTTTATTCTTTCACCTGCATTCCTTGTCAATCTGAAGACACGCTTCATGCATGTTTGTATTAAGACGGTCCATCATACTTTCTTTGGTAACACAATATTCAACACTTCCTGCATACAACAGTAAAGTGTAAATGATGCCAACTCTATTCTTTGTGCATGTATTTGTCAAGAAACTGTTACTGAACTAAACATACAATTGCAAGCGGAAAGGTATGCATTGTCATGAACATGACATCACTCTCTATTCTAGATTCTCAGAAGGGAATAAAAGGGAACAGAAAATTTGGGGTAATTTGGGACCTTGGCCTTGTCAACAATATTTTAGGCAAATTTTTAGAATACAAAATAGAGCAAGTATCTATAGGATGCAAAATAAAAAAGCACCAAAGAAACTGATTATTCAATCACATGAAGACTCTAAACCAAAGAATCCAAAAACATGTTGGAACACACTAATCAATTACCTGTGGAATTCTTAACATCAATGAACCCATCCTGCTCAATTCTTTCCATAATGTCCTTCCCCAAGCGTTCTTCAATGCCTCCCCTCATGTCATAACGGCCAGAAAGATTGACAACATTGTGAATATCATGATACTTAGAAGCATATAGAAGCACAACACCGCCTCCTACAATTACGTTAATCAGTAATGTGGCTTCAATAAAGAAAACATAATTATAGGAATAAACCTTTAAATCTGCATACAGAAAAGAATGGAATAGGAAGAAAGCTAATTAACAGATACAGCACTACTATGTCATGGTACCACCGATTCCAATTTTCAAATGCAAACAAAACTTGCCCCTTTTTTTTTTGAAGATTATGTTATTATCATTAGATTCAGACTTTTACTCTTATTCAACCTAACTTCTCAAGGCTAGGCTTAGCATGTATATATAACATATGGAGATTTAAATGTTTATGAATTCGTAATGCAATTCTGACAGAACTGTCATATAAAGATTTCAAATCCCAAAAATGCCAAAATATGGCACGTTCCACAGAATATTTGGACATTTATGCCAAATCAAATGTTATTTGAGAAAAACGAAGATGTATGACATGACATTTTTCTATTAAGGAATATGCAAAGACGTAGAAAATCAGTTCAAAGAACAAAATAAAAGAACTGAAAAAAGATTTTGAAAAGATTAAAATGTTGAACTAGTGGCACTGAGAGCAACTAGCCATTGGGCCCATCGCCACCTCAAGTGGTATGTCAGCATTAATACAGTGACCAAGCATCATTACTGCTTCCACAACTCCCAATATACCCACATACTCTCACAAGATAATTATCAAAACTTCAGCAGGCTGCCACAGTACTACCATCTTACCACTACTGCTATCACCAATGGTATGCATCAATACTAGTAACCACCAATATCTTCATTGTCTTCCACTTGTTCAAGTTCTGTATATTTGGTAAGTTAAAATAAATATGGAAAAAGCACCAATACTCACAAGTTCATTATCAAAACCCATGTGTTCTCCAAGTTCTTTAGCTATTTTTTACCCCAATTTTTGGCATAGAAAAATGGAACAGAAAGGAGATATTATGGGAAAAGTGGAAAACTTAACCAATTAAGTGTGAAGACATCTTAAGCCACAGACAAAGAAATTCCTTTGATTTATGTTTTCCTTCATATTCCAAGGAGAGTGGGAACCCTAAAAGGTGCAGAGCCTTTAAGAGTAGGCAAAAACCTAATTCATATGGACCCAGGTGTTACCAATGTCAGGACCCGTTGGAAACGAGGACCAAACAGACACCCACAACGTAACAAAAACTAGGCAACTGCAGAAAACATATCAGTAGACAATGAAGAAATAAAAATCATGCCTACTATCTATGCAAAATAACAAACACATAGAACAGGTCAAAGATGATAAGTGTCACCAATTTATAAATGGTCCAATCTCTAAGGTCTTCTCAAACTCAAAGCAAATGTTTAGGCATGTCAATAGATATCATTTGAGCTCAATAAAGCCACATCCAATGAAATGATGAAGGCTAAAAGTCACTACTGATTCTAAGCGAAGATAAATGTTTTATGGATAAAAATCCAAATAAAAGACACCTTAGTGTTAAGCGGAATCCCTTATAGTCTGGAGAGCAGTTGCAGTCTTGCATATATTAGGTACTAGATCCATAAACTTTATTCTCATTCAAAAAATTTCATACGATTTTCATTGTATATGAATTAATTACTCAGAATTTTTAGCACACCTTTACTATGCCCAAGAATCGCACTTATTACACGATTTGCTCCACAAAAGTATTGGATTACAGCACGTAAATCATCAGCCTCTCTCCAATAATTTGCATACGCAAATGAACCTTCACTTTCCCTGGAAAGCATAGTGTTTGAACTAAATCAACAAAACATACTGACCGGGTGCAGAATACCCAAGGCTGACATTAGGAACTTGATCAATACCAGACATTAAACCAGAGAAAATTAACATGACAGAAATGAAAATGCAATTAAATGTTATCTTGCTGTCAGAATCATATACACATTAATAGTTTCTTCATTTGCAGCCTCATTGATTTTGCTACATACGCCATGACAGTTAAAGCATTTACTATTATGAATTCTCTATATGCTCCATTACCAAACAGACAATTCCACACAGCAAACTCTACATAATGCAGTGGCCTATGTCCAAAAACACTTCAAGTAAAAAGTGGCACGCAGAATGAAAAGCTTAGAAGTTTCAAAAGTCACATTTTTACTTCCTGTCAAGGCACCACTTACCCATTTCCAGCAAAGTCAAAACGGAAGGCGCTAATTCCTTCATTTGCTAAGGTAACAGCAAGGTTCACCATAGTAGTATCTTCCTGGAGATGGAAAAGAAAAAACTGTCAAACTTCACTCACAACCATGCTAATCGAGCATTTTGGTCCCCTTCCTGAATGTAAGCCTATAGTTCAGAAATTTGATTGAAAATACCATGACAGAATTACTGAGGTATAAGCTTAAACTCATAAACTTCTTTAAGTTAAGGAAATGTTTCTAGAACGTGGATAAAGTTTTTCACACATTTCTATTTTAAGTCAAATTCCATGAAAGAATGATCAACAACTAGTTTTAGAGAATAAATGGTATAAAGCAATTCTTAAAGGTTGAGCCCTTTAAATTATTAGAAGAGGACTTTACAACTTGATCAAACCAAAAACAATTATTTATTAACAAATATATAAATAAAGCTGACTTCAAATTTTAGAATCACTAACCTTAGTGGATCGGAAACCATGGCAAACTATTACAATTTCAGTAGATCCAGTGTCATGTAATATGCCTACAAGCTTTTCACCATGCTTGTTTGGAATTACAAGTTTATGCTGCTTTACTGAAAAAAAAAATGGTTTAATTCAACTGAAGAATTATAAACTCAAATGAAGCATAAAATCAACATACTTTATAAAGAAAATATCCTATTTTTCATTTACATATATGTCAACACACAAAATCTACGACTATTCCATCTCCCTGTGGACTAATCAACAGTTAGCACATAAGAAGAATAAGTTAATATACATTACAAGTTACCAATTTTTTCTTACAGATAAACAAGTTAGCCCTTATCTTAAAAATCCATTTAAATAAAAATTTCATTTTCACTGAAGTACCATCAGCTCCGAGGACACAGCAGCAATGTCTTCACTTGCTTCAATTAAAACATGTTATAGATAAATGGGTTGATGGAATTTGTTACCTGGGTTCTGGGAAGACTGAGGCTGAGGCTGAGGCTGAGACTGAGACTGAGACATCTTCAAGGATGCTCTGAAGTTGCGTTTGGTTGATGAAACTACTCGTACCTGGTGAAGAGGAAAGCTTGGTGAAAGGGGCTTTTTAAAATTTAATGAATTTGAGATGGCTAAATGAAAATTGTACAATAAGATTCCCATGATTGTTTATTTATTTTACTTTACTAAATTGAAAGTGTGAGGTTTCATGATGAAGCTATGCGTACCTGCTGAAGATAGTATTTTAGTAGTTATGGAAGAAGAATGTCCCATGCTTAAACACACTAATCTATTTTATAAAAGGAAATAAATAAAAGGGGTCGTTTGGATCGGGGTAAATAAGATAATGGATATAATCTTCGTTTATTTTGCAAGTAATAAAATATTATAGTAATCTTTTATTATAAATAGTATTTATTATTGATAATGTATGATAGGGATGTTCAAAAGAATCGGTTGGAACCGAAACCGACGGGTACCCTAGGTTTGGTTCCGGTTCCTACCCAGAACTAGTCGTCAATAGGTAGGTTCTGGTTCCAAATTTTTGGAACCGTTACTGTGCGGTTCCGGTTCCGGTTTTTATAGTTAGGAACCAGAACCGGAATCAGGAACCAGGAATCGAGACTAATATAAAATAAAATTAACGATTAGGGGGGTTAATAAAAACTTTTGTAGAAAAAGTAATGTAAATACATTGATATTTATATTTCATAATATTTAAAGTAAGTTGGTTTGACTTTTGAGAATCTACCGATACAAAGTAATGGAATTTGTAATTTGTAATTTTGAATTTATAATTTGTAATTTTATTTTTGTTAACAAGTGCCAGGTGGGGGGGTATTGTAAGTTTTTAAGGGTTTTTTTGCGATTTTAAAAAATTTTGGGGGGTCATGAATTTTACAGGGTACTCAGAACCGAAACCGGAACCGTTGTTATAGGTTCTGGTTCTGGGTACCTAGGAACCGGAACCGTCGGTTCCGGTTCTTTCAAAAAGTGCAGGGTACCCGGAACCGAACACCCCTAATGTATGGGGTAATCTTATTACCTTGCTAGGAGATGTTATTAAAACATTATCAAGATAATCTGGGTCTGTTTGTTTTATTATTTTGGATAGAATTTTGGAAATCATATTGGGTAGTGAATAGGGGAGTATTACGAGGTAAAATTTAAAAATTTACAAAAAAAAAAACCCTTAGGTTTGCTAATTTAACTAAACACCTAATATATAAAAATTTTGTAAAATGACAAAAACACCCCCACCCACCACAGTGCCAAATTCCGGCAACCACCGCCGAAATCTAGTAGGAAAATGACATTACAACACAAACCGGTCAAATCTAGTGGGTAAGGCGTCGATATGGCCTTTTCCGGCCAGATCTGGTCGTCGACGGCGGCAAAAGTCCAGATCTGGCTGTCGTTGACGGCCAGTTCCGGTCGTTAATTCATTGTTGTGACAGATTCCGACTACCACCGACGGTGGTTGCCGGAATCTGGCAAGTATGGGTGGGTGGGGGTGCTTTTGTTAATTTTTAAACTTTTTTTTTGGGGTATTGAATGAAATTAATAAACTCAAGGGGTCTAAAAGTAATTAAAAAAATATACTAATATTTCTCAAATAATGTACTAAGCAATATTTTGGGAATAGGATTGGGAATATGGGTAGAAATAATGTACTGAACGCACCCTTGATTTTTCTACCTATTTTGCCCTTAATTAAAAACTATTTCGATCACAATTGCCCTCAAATGTCTACCAAATAACAATTACCCAGCCCCCTTACATTTAAGAAATTAGCTAAAACACCCCAGCCATAAAAAATTTTAAAAGTTAACAAAATACTCCCAACCACCCAAGGTCACCGCCGGCCATGACTCACCATTGCTGGCCACCGGCGTTAGTTGCTGTAATGGTGCACGATCAATGGGATCTGGCCGGTCGTGCGCCGGTAAGGCCCTTTTCGGCCATGGATTTGTGATCCATGGTCAGAAACGGCCAGATCTAGTGTTTCTATGGTTGTTTCACGGCCAAAGATGTGGCCGTGAAATGGCCACAGATCTGGCCATTTTTCGGCCATGGATTTGTAATCCATGGCCACTTTTGGCTTTGTCGACGCACAGTCGCCATATACAGCCAGTCTTGCGCCATTCCATCGACTACCGGTGGCAGTCGGCGATGGTGGTTGGCTGCCGACAGCGGCTTGGGGTGGACGAGGGTGATTTTGTTATAAATTAAAGTTTTATATGGTTGGGGTGTTTTAGCAAAATTTCAAATGTATGGGGTTGAAAGTGATTCAAAAAATAATAATAAAAAATACTATTATATTAATATTTAAAAAGGAGGGCAATTTAATAATCTATATAACCTACCCCCTCGTTTATCCTCTCAACCAAACATATTATTCAACAATTTATTCGAATCAACCAAACATATTTTCTAAACATTCACAGTAATCTTCAAGGTGATCTTTCTTTCCGTTAATATACATACCCCTATAAAGAGTAAACAACTTTTCCCACCCAAGGTTTGCCTTAATGACATTGTCCCACTCAAAAAGTTTCAAAATACAACTTTCCCATCCAAAGTTTATATTCCTTAATACCTAAAATACACTTCACTTTCTCAGTCAGCGTTCAGTGAGTTGCCAGGAGCTAAGGTAAGAGGGTTTTTGTTGAGTGAAGGGCAGTGGATCAAATGTTGGTGACCAATTGAATATTCGCCGTTGAGATCAACTGAAAATCAGTCAAGAGCAGAAAACTCTAGCTTTGCAATGGCCGATAATCGGTGAGAAATCAAGTGCCAGAGTGAGAGGGGTTTTATAGAGATGAGACTGGAGGTTCAAATGGTGGTGTCAAAGAGAATTTTTGCCGCTAAAATCAGCTTTGGGTAGTAACAGAATATTAACTTTGGGTGAAAAAATGGTATTTTAAAACTTTTTGGGTGGGAAAGGGTCATTAAGGCAAACCTTGGGTGCGAACAAGTCGTTTATTCATAAATAAAATTATATATATTATAGTCATGAAAATAATTATTCTTAAGAGAGAAAAATATAAATTAATTTAACTATTTAAAGAAATAAGTCCCAACTGCCACCTTTTTAATTCTAAGTATTTTACACGTTTAATTTAATCTTCTTCTTTTTTTAGTGCACTTTTACAAAATAGAATATTTTCTTATTATTTAATGTTTCATATATTTTAAGATATTTTTATCTGAAAAGGCAATTTTTTTTTTTTATGATTTTTTTTTTATTCAAATTAAAAAAAAAATAACATTATGTTTAATGTTTTCTCCTTTATTCACCTATCTCAACTAATACTGCAGCACCACCACTTCCACAACCACCATTTAACCGTATCAACACTAAAATGGGATAATAATATTTTCAGATTAGTAAATTTCTCTTTTGAGGTAACAAATTACCTGATATCTAAAAAAAAATAAAAAATTACCCCTATAATTATTATTTCATTAGTTTTTTGTTCAATTAAATAGTGAAACCCTAACAAAATACAAGCGATAGGGGGTAAACTGTTATTTAATATACTTGACAGTAAACTTTGTTATTTAATAATACTTTAGGGGAAAATACAATAAACTCTAATATTTTCACATACGGGGAATGTGTTGAGTCATAATTACACCCCGAGGTTTTTGAAAGTGACAATTAACCCAATATTACAGTAGCAATAATGCTATGGACACCAGGATTCTACACCGAAATCTTACATTGGCTTACGTGTCCCGTGACTCACACTAGACACGTTTCACGTTCAAAATCTTTAACAGCGCTCGGACCAGAATGAGATAAACTATCTAATGAAGTGTTTTGCTAAAGAAAAGGCGGCATGGAAAAACAAGGAGCAGGAAGTGGTTGAGGCTGCTATTGAGTCCATTGTAGGGGAACTTGAGGTAGAAAGGAAGTTGAGGAGACGGTTTGAAAGATTGAACAAGAAGCTTGGCAAAGAGCTGGCTGAGACTAAAGCATCATTTCTTAAGGCAGTGAAAGAACTTGAGAATGAGAAGAGAGTGAGAAGGGAGTGAGAGTGGTTATTGACCAAGTATGTGACGAGTTAGCCAGAGACATTGATGATCAAGCTGAAGTGGAAGAACTTAAGAGAGAATCTGTTGTAGTTCATGAAGAGGATGAGAAGGAAAGGGAAATGATGCAGTTAGTTGATGTATTGCGTGAAGAGAGAGCTCAAATGAAACTCTCAGAGGCTAAATATCAGCTTGAAGAAAAAATGTCGCTATTGATAAATTGAGGAGTCAACTTTAGGCTTTTATGGGAAACACACGTTAGGGACGCCCGTCCACAAGTTATGGACGGGTGTCCAAAGTTTTTTTTTTTTTTTTTTTTTTTATATTTACATTATGGATGGACGTCCCTTATTTGCGGGTGCCCGTCCCTAAATGTTTTTTAATTTTTAAAAACGATTGTTAATGGACGAGTGTCCATTAACATATGAACGCCCGTCCAATCTTTAGGAACGGTCGTCCATAACCTATGAATGACTGTCCCTAATTTTTGTTTATATTTTTTATTCCATTTACTAATAAACGGGCGTCCTTTAAATGGGGACGCCCGTCCAATGGACGGGAGTCCATGTAAGTGAACAGTCGTCCATAGTTGATGAACGGTCGTTCACTAAAAAAAAAAATTTGAACATGAAACGTGTTTGGTGTGAGTCACGGAACACGTAAGCCGGTGTAAGATTTCGGTGTAAAATCCCGATGTCCGTAGTATTATTGTTACAGTAGATGCTTCTGAAAATTAATTTTGACCAAAAAAATAATTAAAAATACTATTTTACCCTTATTTGTTATTTAGAGAAGTTAAACAAAATGAATAAATTTAGTCAACAGTAGCAACAATCACATATAAAAGGTAACAGATGAAATAAAATTTTAACTAAAAATTAGCTTTCATTGTTCATTTTTTATATTATAACATTGAGTGTATATCTCACTTCTGGAAAATAATGGGTGTAATTTTAACCCAAACTTTGTTGGTGATAAATATTATTTTTCGTTTACAATCAATATAATTGTTATTATCATATTACATCGGATCGTATTATATATCAATTATAATCCATAAAACTACATCAACCTAATCTAAACTGATGAAATTGAGAGAAGTGCAGCAGTGATGTTGTTTATGAAAAATGAAATCATACTTCATTAATTCGTGATCTTGAAATACATGACTATATATACAGATGCTCTGTAACTAACTAACAAACTAAAACAAACTTTTCTAAATATAACTAACTCTTAACTACTTTAAATAACTTAATTGCTTTATTTAGCTAATTTAGTCAGCTCATTAATCTTGCTGACCCTGCCAACTTATTCTTCAACACTCCCCCTTAAGTTAGCATCTCCCTATAAATGTCTTTCACCCCTAACTTGGATAATAGCTTCTCATGTTGCAGCTTCCCCAAGGCCTTTGTTAAAATGTCTACTAACTGATCTCCTGTGGGAATGTAATTTGTGGGAATGATTCCATTCTGTATCCTTTCCCTGATGAAATGGCAGTTAATCTCTATATGTTTCGTTCTCTCATGAAACATAGGATTGGCTGCTATCGATATTGTCGCTTTATTATCACAATGTAGTTGCACAGGGGCTAAATCTTCTGTGTTTAACTCTTTTAACAGACCAAGTAACCAATCAATTTCAACAACCGAAGATGCCATACTTCTGTACTCAGCTTCAGCTGATGATCTAAACATAGTGTTCTGTTTTTTTTTTTTTTTTTTTTTTTCCATGAAATCAATGATTCTCCAAGCTTGATGCAGTAGCCACTTACTGATTTTCTGCTTACTTGACAAGCACCCCAATCTGAATCACAGAAGGCACTTAGTTTTAATTCACTTTTCGCTGACATTAAGAGTCCAAGACCTGGTCTGCCTTTGATGTATCTTACTACTCTCAAGGCTGGTTCTAAATGAGACTCCTTCGGTGCATGCATATATTGACTTAAAGTCTGAACTGAGAAAGCTATATCTGGCCTTATCATAGTCAGATAAAGTAGCTTTCCAATGAGTCTTTTGTAAACAGTAGGATCCTACAACAACTTGTCTTCTGTGACTAGAGGAAATGCTTGATCATATTCAAAGGAAGTTAGCTTAGAATCCTGCTCTAATGGTGTCTTGGCAGGTTTTGCTGCTCCTAAACCAGCTTCTGAAATTAATTCTAATGCATATTTCCTTTGATTTAACACAATTCCTTCCTTGGACCTGGCCACTTATATTCCAAGAAAATATCTCAACTCCCCGAGGTCTTTGATCTTGAAGCTGTCATTTAAAACCTTTTTAAGATGTTGCAACATCTCTTGGCAATTGCCAGTTATTAGAAGATCATCCACATATACTAACAATACCACAATCTTCTCATTTTCTCTCTTAGTGAACATTGAATAGTCATGCTTGCTTTCCTAGTATCCATGCTTTATTACGGCTTCTGTTAACTTGAGATTCCACTGCCTACTAGCCTGTTTTAAACCATACAAAGACTTGAGCAGTCTACATACCCTATGCTCCCCCGGAGTGCGAAATCTCTTAGGCAACTCCATGTAGACTTCTTCATATAAATCCCCTTGTAGAAAAGCATTGTAGACATCCATCTAAGGGCCAAGATTGATCTCATTGTGACCATCTTAGCAACAGGGGAGAATGTCTCTTGAAAATCAATTCCAGGTTTCTGATTGTAACCTTTGGTCACTAATCGTGCTTTGTGTCTTTCTAGGCTGCCATCTGAATTATATTTCACCTTATATACCCACTTGCAGCCAATGGCTTGCTTGCCAGATGGAAGAGAGACAAGCTGCCAAGTGTTATTGGCTTCTAAGGCTGAAATTTCTGTTTTCATGGCTTCTATCCAATGAGAATTCTGAAAGGCCTCTTCATAGCTACTAGGTTCATGAATTTTGGAAAAAGAAGACAAAAAACATTGATAGATAGGATTCAAATGTGAGTAGGCAATGTAATCTTGAATAGCATACTGAGCAGTAGGTTGAGAAACAAAGTCAGTTAGCCATATAGGAGGCTTGACTTGCCTTGTAGACCTTCGAAGAGGCATTGTGTCATGGGCAAGAGGAGTAGGAGGCACTGGTGCAACATCAGTAGCTATGAAAGTTTGAGAAGAATCCTTTGGGGAGGAAGAAGAAGTAAAAGGAGGTGTTCCTGGTATATCATGAGTGGAAATTGAATGAAGAAAGTCTATATTAGGAACATCATGGTGAGGGGTCGCATCAAGAGAGAAAAGCATGGAGTTAGGATTAGCAGGCAAAGTCTGAAATGGAAATATATCTTCCAAAAACTTTACATCCCTGCTCACAAAGAATTTATGAGTAGAGAGACACAGTAGCTTGTAGCCCTTTTGAGTAGATGAGTATCCCATAAACACTGATGGAATAGCTTTGGCAGCAAATTTGTCCTTGCAAGTATGGTTAGTTTCATAAGCTAAACAACCAAAAACTCTTGGATGATTAATATTTGGAGGAGTACCATACAGTAGCTCAAAAGGAATCCTTCCTTGAAATGAATGAGAAGGCATCTTGTTAATCAAATAGCTGGTTGTAAGCACACAATCACCCTAGTATTTTAATGGAATAGAGGCCTGAAATTTTAGAGATCTGGCAACCTCTAAAAGATGCCTGTGTTTTCTTTCTGCCACTCCATTCTGCTGAGGAGTGGCAATACAAGAGCTTTGATGAAGTATTCCAAAAGAATAAAGTAATTCTGAGCACTGTAAGTTGAAGAACTTAGTTCCATTATATGATCGAAAAGTCTTGACAGAAGTAGAAAACTGATTCTACACCAGAAGGAGAAATTGTCTGAGGTGTATAACAACTTCTGATTTCTGCCTCATAAGGAAAATCCAAGTGCTTCTGTTGTAATCATCTATCAAAGTAAGAAAGAATTTATAGCCATCATATGTAGGATGATGGTAAGGCTCCCGAACATCTAAGTGAACAAGATCAAATATATGTGAAGCTTTAGATGTGCTGACAGGGAAAGACATTCTAGTTTGTTTAGCAAGTGGACAAATAGAACAAGAAGGCAAATGTGAATTTACTTTTATTGAAGGAAAAAATTTTAGCTTAGCAGGAGCAATATGTCCAAGCCTTTTGTGCCACAGTTCAACATCAACAAAATAACAAAAGGAATTTAAAGATTTCACATGCTTATTGAGAGAACTATGTGAATTAGAACAGTTATTGTAAGCTCGAGACATTTGAGTGACTTGATCTTGTGAAGATGGAACTGAAGAAGGTAATAGGTAGTAAAGTCCTTCAGCCTCCTTACCAATCCCCACTACCTGTCCATTGTAGAGGTCCTGAAGAGGACAAAAATCAGGATAAAAGCTCACAAACCAGCTTAGGTCTTTAGTTAGCTTAGCAATGGATATTAGATTAAATTTAAACACTGGGACATAAAGCACTTTGCTAATCTTCTGATGTTGATTCAAGTGGCGGGAACCTATGTGAGTGACCATTGAAGTGTGTCAATTTGGCAATTTGACAGAAGGAGGTAGATTTGGTGTAACTAAGTCCACTAGCTTGTCAAGACAAGGAGACATATGATGGCTGGCTCTTGTGTCTAGGATCCAGATGTTACATTCAGTCAATGAAGATAAGTAACAATGAGTACCTACCATGTTGCTACTAGCTTCAATAGGTGTTGAGAGTGAAGGTTCCTTATGCAGAAGCTTCAAAATCTTTGCATATTGCTCCTTAGAAAATACAGGTGGAGAAGAATTTGCAAGTGATGCAGATGACATTTCAGATTGCTTAGATGAGGCAGCATGATCGGCTGAGGATGATTAGGTGTTTTGAGACCTTTTCTTTGTGAACTTAAAGTATGCAGGGGGACTTCTGATGACCTTTAACATGACAATGCTCACACACCACATTCCAATTTTTTTTCTGCTTAGTTTGTGATTGAGATGTAAAGTATAGCACAGTGGATTCGAGTGGTGAGTCATTATAGGAAGATGCTGTAATTCCTCTCTGACTTTCTTCGGTAATCAACATAGAATATGCTTGATCAACTGAAGGCAAAGGTTGCATCATAAGAATATGTCCTCTAGCTTGGATGTAAGTCTCATTAAGCCCCATTAAGAATTGAAGTAATTTCTGACTTTGCATATGGTCAACATAAATCTTGGACATTGCACATTCACATGTAGGTAATTGAATCATTGAAGAATACTCATCCCACAGAAGCTTCAAACGTGTAAAATAAGCAGAAATTGTAGATTTACCTTGAGTCAAAGTAACAATCTCTCTATGTGGAATATCCTGGAGCCATTTACTTTGTCAAACCTTTCCTTGAGATCCTGCCAAACCAGGTGAGAATCTGAAGCATAAACAATTCCACTAAGCAAATCTTTCGTGACAGAATTCATGATCCAGGATAGCACAATAGCGTTGCATCTATCCCACTGTGGTTGTAAATTCTTTGAAACTGAATCCCTTGTACATCTGCCATCTATAAACCCTAGCTTCTTTTTTGCTAATAAAGCAATTCTCATTGATCAACTCCATAAAGCATAATTGTCAAGTCCTATAAGCTGAAATGAAACTAGAGTAGAACCTGGAGTATCTGATGGATGAAGATACAATTGATGATTGAAGTCAATTGTTGTTACTGGAGACGAATTCGATTCTGGTGAACTGCTTCTGTTGTTCATAGCAGATGCCATGAATTCTCGATTCTCGATTCTTGATTGCAGGATTGTTTTTGGCAATCGAAAATGATAGATTAAAGAGCTGAGGAATAGCTTCAGTAAAGAAACGAGCCAATTCGTGAGAAGAAGAAGAAAGAAAAAAAAAATCAGGAGCTAATCTTGCTCTGATACCATGATGAAATTGAGAGAAGTGCAGCAATGATGTTGTTTATGAAAAATGAAATCATACTTCACTAATTCGTGATCTTGAAATACATGACTATATATATACAGATGTTCTGTAACTAACTAACAAACTAAAACAAACTTTTCTAAATATAACTAACTCTTAACTACTTTAAATAACTTAACTATTTTATTTAGCTAATTTAGTCAGCTCATTAATCTTGCTGACCCTGCCAACTTATTCTTCAACACCATCTATTTATTATTATTTATTTTATTGCAAATTCTAATTATAGAATTCAAAGACCTCACAAGGAGAAAGAGAACAATAATTTTTAATTTGTATACAGAAACTCTCTCATATTAAACACATGCCTACTTTAATATTAATATTAAAATATGTTATGAGACTAAAAAAGGAAGTATTGCTTCCAAGTTCCAAAGGATATCCGTATATGGGCAGCCTGCGTTGATAAAAAAAATTAATAATATATATATATATGTGTGTGTGTGTGTGTGTGTGTGTGTGTGTGTGTGTGTGTGTGTGTGGGGGGTAAAACTCTTTAAAGAGGCTAGTTTGTCAAAGTAACAAATTAATGATTTCAACTTGAAGTTAAAAAAAAAAAAAAGGGTCAGCATAATTGAATATATAGTAAATATTATTTAGAGTAGCTAGTGTGGCACAAACTTTCCATGAATTGTTAAGTAATAGAGCTAGATTTGTAGTTACAAAATAAAAAAAAAAAATTAATTAACTTGGATAACAAATGGCATCTTTGTGGTTATTGAAGGGTAAACGGTTCGAGAGGGCGTTTCGCATGGAGAGTCATGAGATAGTGAGGTTCACACACACTAATAAGGTGACCTAAACTGACACATTTTGGCAGATTAACCAACACAAATGTTGTGAATACTCAAATTACAGGTATGCCATTCTCTTAAAATATGCGAAAAAATAAGAGTTATAAGTGAGGAAGAAAGGTGTCCTAAAAGATGAAGACGGAGAATACCATTAGTCAATAATAAGCAAGAGAAAGAAGAGCCAAAACTGCAAATCACGCGGCTTGTATCAAGTGACTCTATTTATATGTCTGCACTATTCAAAGCACTCCTCTCTATAATAGTGAGAGAAAAGACATTCAGTCTTTCCTTTTAAGACTAGCTCCTGCAACATTTCAATTTGATTGGAGGGTCTCTTATAATTTTGTGCTTTCAGTACTAGTTATTGCGATTTTCTAAGGTTAAAGTTTTATTCCATAACTTGTAGCTACTTTTTTTTTTTTTTTCTTTTTGTGAAATTATTCTACTTACATGTATTGTTTTTCTCATGTTGACTGCTGCAGAGATTAAACATTCTAAAATCTATGAGGAACCAAGGTGCTTTGATCCCAATAACTCCACGGCAGAGGGTTCAGATTCTGGGTTCCATCGAGTTGTGGCAAACAGAACCTTTTGCTACGGAGCAACAAAGGAGAGAACACTTGAATAATAAGTACACGGTCCTGAGGAATTTGGTTCCTAACCCTACCAAGGTACACATTTTGTTTCTCTTTAATTTCATGGTAATGTTTATAATATATCATACCAGCTACTAATATAACAATTTTACATATATATAACAAAGTTAGATAGAGCCTCAATTGCGGGAGATGCTACTGATTACACCAAAGAGCTTCTTAGAATAGTTAACGAGCTCAAATTACTAGTAGAGAAAAAAAGATGTGATGGAGAGAGAAGGAAGAGGCAGAAGACAAAAGACGATGTTGAGAGTTGTAACATAAAGCCTCTTGGTGATCCCGATCAATCCTGCAGTGGTTCTCTGTTCCAGCTTCAGTTGGATCTCCACCATTGTTGATGCTTGATTTTGATACCAACGACGTCGCACGTGCAAAGTACTAAGCAGGTCTTAGAAATTACACGTGATATGATTATGAGAGTTGATTATGGAGCTGAGATGATATATTTTTGAAGAAACATAAATAAAAGATTGACAAGAGGGATTTTTATAGTGGTTCAGATACTTAAAACGAATCTTATATCCACTGTTATTTTATTATTCTCTGACTATTTTTCTGATATTGCCTGTAAGGCATACAAAGATAAAGTAAAAGCTCAAATGTTTACAGAGAAAAAGTAATAAAGCTCAAACGTATGCCTAGCTCTCATATGCCTAACCAGCCTCATTTTCATGAAGAGAGCTGCCCATTTATATACCTTTGAGCTCAACGTAATGAGTGTTTTTACAAGTTGCCTTGACACATAGAGAGCTCTCATTCATCCTGATCCTTTATTTTTTATCTCTTTGAGGCGGTTTGGGTTTTGACAACTAATACCCTTTGTCTTTAAGTGCTTGTTGAGCTCTGATTGATATTGCTGACATCGGTGTGTATTTTTGGCACCCCGAAGAGCTCGAACTATGCCTGGCGTGATCAAGTGCTGAGTGCTAGAACTGCGATCTGAGAGCTTAGAGCGTTCCAAAGCTGATCACAATCTGATAACTGACATAAAATGTCTAGCAGATGAATTCCTGGAAAGAGCTAAGCGTCAAAAGCCAAAACGCATGGTTCAAAGGTCCTAAACGAACATGCCAATTTAAAATACGCATAACTTTTGATCCAGGAGGAGTTTTGGAGCCCGTAAGATATCCATGGAAAGCTCATTCCATGATCTACGTTGTAGAAACTAGGAAACCCATTTGACAGTATTTTCGAGGCCAAAATCTACCGTTTCGACATTTTTCAAGGCTATTTTGAGTTTTTTACGCGTTTTTTCTAACACTGGTAATTGGTCGCAATCTGAGAGTTGAGAACACAATCTGAGGCTATTCGTAATCTTAGAGCTGAGAGCTGATCATGCACGATTTGAGAGCTAGGAGCTAATCGTGATCTGATAGGGGCTCGGTCTGAGAGCTTGAGGTATGCAATCTGAACAGCTTAATCTAGAGTGCGCAATTTGAAAGCTTAAAGAACTTGATTTATGCACGCAATCTCAAGCAAATGAACAAGCTTATGAGCTCAATCAAAAAACATAAGGAGCTCGATCAGAAAGCATAAAGAGCTCGATATGATATCATAAGGAGCTCGATTTGAGAACTTAAGAGCTCTTTGCGATTTGAGAGCTTAAGAGCTCTTTGCGATCTAAGAGTTTAAGGAATTCAATTAGAAAACATAAAAAGTTCGATCAGAAAGCACAAAGCTTGATCTGAGAACACAAGGAGTTCGATCAGAAAGCGCAAAGCTTAATCTGAGAACACAAGGAGTTCAATCAAAAAGCGCGAAGCTTGATCTAAGAACACAAGGAGTTCGATCAGAAAGCTCAAAGTTTGATCCAAGAATACAAGGAGTTCGATCAGAAAGCACGAAGCTTAATCTGATAACACAAGGAGTTCGATCAACAAGCACAAAGCTTGATCTGAGAACACAAGAAGTTCGATCAGAAAGCGTAAAGCTTGATCTGAGAACACAAGGAGTTCGATCAGAAAGCACGCAGCTTGATCTGAGAACACAAGGAGTTCAATCAGAAAGCGCAAAGCTTGATCTGAGAACACAAGGAGTTCGATCGGAAAGTGCAGTTTGATCAAATAGCACGAAGCTTAATCTGAGAACACAAGGAATTTGATCAGAAAGCGCAGAGCTTGATCTAAGAATACAAGGAGTTCGATCAGAAAGCATAGAGCTAGGCATACGTTTGGGCTTTATTATTTTTTCTCTGATGCGCATGATCTGGGCGACAGACCACGCAATCTGAGAGCTCCGATGCATGCAATCTAAGTGATCTGGCCACCTGATCTGGGAGCTCTAATGTGTATGATCTAAACGATTTGGCCGCGTGATCTGAATCGGAAGATCAGAGTAATCTGAGCGCGCGATCTAAATGACCTGGCCACCTGATCTGGGAGCTTGCGTGTTATCTAGCCACGCGATCTGAGAGCTCTAATGCGTGCGATCTGAGAGATCTAGTCACACGATCTGAGAGCTCTGATCTAGAACATGCTTCAGTATTTTGACAATAACTTGAGCTGTATACCTCATATTTGGATGATTCATAGACCATCAGAAAGCTAACTTGAAGGGCTAAAACTCTTGTGTTTACCACTTCACCAGATTCAGACTTTATCTGATAAAATATTGAGAGTTGGTGTGAATCATACTCTCTTTCTAGCGCCAAAGTATTGATGCTTAATTTTGACACCAACGACATCGCATGTGCTAAGTGCTAAGTAGGTCTTAGAAATTACACATGATATGATTATGAGAGTTGATTATGAAGCTGAAATGATATATGTTTGTAGAAACATAAATAAAAGATTAACAAGAGGGATTTTTATAGTGGTTCGGATGCTTAAAGTGAATCCTACATCCACTGTTATTTTATTATTCTCTGACTATTTTTCTGATATTGCCTGTAAGGCATACAAAGATTGAGTAAAAGCTCAAATGTTTATAGAGAAAAAATAATAAGGCTCAAACGTATGCCTAGCTCTCATATGCCCAGCCAGCCTCCTTTTCATGAAGAGGGTTGCCCATTTATACACCTTTGAGCTCAACGTAATAAATGCTTTTACAAGTTGTCTTGACACATGGAGAGCTCTCATTTATCCTGATCCTTTATTTTGATAAAGGTGGGACAGGTGTTATATAATATCTTTTTAAGGGGGTTTGGGTTTTGAAAGCTAATACCATTTGCCTTAAGTGCTTGTTGAAGTCTGATAGGTGGTGCGACATCAATATGTATTTTTGGCACAACAACCATGTTGTCGGGGGCCACATTGGCAATTCCTACAATTTTATATTTATTTCTAATTTTGCACATATATGAAGATTCTGTTTATGGTTTTCTAAATTCCAAGTTCCAAACTTCATGGTTTTTAAGTTAACTATCTGTAACACCAAAGTACTATCTAAGATAACTTCTCATATTTCTAAGTATTATTGTTTTTTTTTTTTTAATTATTATTATTATTAATCTTGGATATACTCAATTTTGGTTTTTGTTTGATCATGTATTGAAATGTGGCTTTGCTTTGTTTGTTGTTTACACGTGACTGTAAATTAAAAATTTATACGGTTGGAATGTGTACTGATCACTAAGTAACTCTGATTAGCATAAGTTTCTTGCATTCGAATTGCAAGTTGCACATAACCAATTTAAAATCCACGAGAAGACGATTACGTTCACATTTCGATTAAAAAAAGAGATATAATCTTGTTCTAAAGTCCGAAACATTAAATGTGAAAAAATAATTCGAGTGTGAACATATTTCTAGCAAGAATGATTGATATATTTTATTTTATTTTATTTTAGAATCCACTATCAGTTTTCTGAACGTCTGGTAGTGTTGCATAACAGTCTTAGTCAAGGTTTTAACACCAGACCCGGGGGCAACCCGGCCAAGCCACGGGTCACGGGTTTGATAGGTTGGACCGTGACGTCAGCAAAAAACAAAACAAAATGTAGATTTTAATTTTTAACTGTGATAATAAAAAATTCTCTGTAACAAATATATCCAAATCTGAAATGAAATTAAAACTACAAGCCTACGACATTCCAAGTTGTATAGAGAAGAGAGAAACCAGGGAGGAAAGCTTAAGACAAAGAATTTGAATCATCCATAAACTCTCTCTTGACAAAGCAGAGTGAAAATTCATCCCTCTTTAAGAATATTATAAAACAAACAAGGGATGTTTTTGCCAGACATCTTTTCAATTTAACTCACAATTTCTGCAAGGGCCGCAACTACGATGACCCAAATCTGGAACACAAAAATAAACTAGAAAAAAATGGAGAAAAGAGAAATAAAACTCCAAGTTTGGAATCACGGCCAAATGAAACCAGTCAGAGTAGCCAGATCGAAAAGGCAACAACACTACAACCAAAGCGAAACCAAAAAGAGTAAACCAGTATCACTATCAGAGAGAGAGTGCAAGCTGAAGCTGATTTCGTTGTTTGGTAATGGGTTTTTTTTATTTTTCTTCTCTACTGGTGCTGGGAATTGTCGAATAAAAGGGAAGGGAGAAAACTCATAAAATGGTTTTAAGTTTTTAAGTTTTAATTTTATTATTTTAAATTTTAAATTATTTTTTTATATTTCACTGTAGCAGACCCGTTTTATACCGGTTGAACTGGTGGTTCATCGCAAAAAAACTAGTCGAACTGCTAGTAGAAGCGGGTCAATTACTGATTCCGATTTTTTATATGAACCGACCTGATCTAGCCACCAGTTCCTGGTTGAACTGGTTCAACCGGCCGAGTTTTAAAACCATGGTCTTAGTAGTAATGCTAATAGGTTGACAATAATAGTAGCAGTTGTGGCATGGTGACTCACAGTTCTAAAAGCGATAACCAATGCCAAAAAGGGAATAATTAGCAACATAGTTGCCTGGCCGTAGGCAAGCACAACACTCGGTAATTATCAAATCGATTTCAAGATTTCAATGTATGATAAAAAAGGGATTTTTAGTTCCAATTTAATTTATCCGTATCCTCACTTTTAAAAGTTTTTTTTTTTTTTTGCTTTTTATTTTTAAAGTTT